ATCGCCCATGCCAAAGGCGTGGGTTTCACCTTGCTGGTGAAACCACCCACGCTTGGCTTTTCATATGTATGGACTAAGTTATGAATGTTGCTCACCACCCCTCCCCACTGAAAGGTCCCCTGGATTTCCCCTTGCTGGAGCGACACAAACTCCCAGTTTAAACGACTTCCTTAAGTTGTACCGTATACTACACTTCAGCCATTTACACTAGTCACCCATCTTAACACAATCTTTTCCAATTGTTTCTAATATCAACACTATAGTAATCTATTTGCAACAATCAAAGAAACAAAAATCGTGATGCAATACAACTAGGAGAATTTTAACACTTGTAATATATTTACTGTGATTAGCAAAAAGATCCTTCAAGACAGTGGCTCCATCACTTGTAGAAGAGTAATCAAAGAAAATGTTGATTAAAAAGAGAGATTTGAAAGCATCCTTACTAATAAATATTCTGATTTTCAAGTTGTCTAAAGAACTTACACCTGCTTGCAGGAATGGTGTCTAAAAACGCTCTGAGCGCTGTGTTAGGTAACTCGGGATGAACATTAGTAAACAATAATGGAAAAGCATTGCACAACGCTTGACTTGTTGCAGAGATCATGTGTGGCATAAAATGTTTTATACACAAATACCTGCTTCTTATCAAAACCTTCCATGGGCAAAATGCTACAGATTCATTCCAAATCGCCCATGCCAAAGATGTGAGCAACCTCGCTGGCAAAACCACCCACGCTTTGCTTGTTATATGTATGTACTAAGTTATGTATGTTGCTCACCATCCCTCCCCACTGAAAGGTACCCCTCATAATACACTTTGTCCCCTCCATTAAGGATTTCCCCCTGCCAGAGCGACACGAACTGCCCGTTTAAAAGACTTCCTTAAGTAGTACCATATACTAGACTTCAGCCATTTAAACAAAAATGGCGAAACTAGGAGAAATTTAACACTTGTAATATATTTACCATGATTAGCAAAAAGATCCTTGAAGACAGTGGCTCCATCACTCGGGGAAGGGTCTGTAATCAAAGAAAATGTTGATTAAAAAGGGAAATTTGAAAGCATTCTTACGAATAAATATTCTGATTTTGAACAGTTGTCTAAAGCACTTACACCTGCTTGCAGGAACGGAGTCTAAAAACGCTCTGATCGCTGTGTCCGATAACTCCGGACGAACATTAGTAAACAATAATGGAAGAGCATTGCACAACGCTCGATTCGTTGCAGAGATCATGTGTGGCATAAAATGTTCTATACACACATACCTGCGATTTACCAAAATCTTCCAAGGGCAAAATGCTAGAGATTCATCCCCAATTGTCTTCAGCCATCGCAAACATCTATGCAATAATATAATCATTAATCAAAAATTACCACAAACTACCAAAAACACACACACTTTTAGAGAAATTGGAAAAGAAAACTGGGAGGGGAAAGAAAAGGAAACAACCAAGATTTGAAAGGTCGAAACAAAGAAAGAAAACACTGACCAAATGGACGATATAAGTACAGTAAAAACAAGGTAATTAATTTGATATTTACATCATGATCTTTCGCAATTACAAAGGTGTTTTCAAATGAGATACTAAATAACTTTTAAAGAACATGGAAAAATGCAACAAAAAGTGTCACAATGATAAGAATTAATAATATTCTGTATAAAAAAAATAACACAACAAGAAAATCAGTTGAAAAGACTTACCTTTCAACATCTCGTGGAAACGTAAACAGTCTTGTGAATTTTGCTCTTTCCATATTGTTATTCTTACATTTGGGAACCCAACATCTCCTAAGCCTAGGCATGTTGTCAGAAAGAATAAAAACTTGACACAAGTTAGAACGGCAACAAAAGGGAAGATTGTCAACGTTTCAAACGGGGGGTACATCACAGACCGCTAGTATTCATACTAGAAGAATATGATTCCATTCGGTCCCTTGTAACAAAATATACTTTTCAAATTCCAAACACCCCTTCTCCGGAATCTGTGAGAACCAGGGCCCTATAACTCCCATATAACTTGGTGGAGACCATTACGGTGGCGCTCTCTGCTGCATCACCTTCTTTACATAAACTAAAACACGAACTGCTGCCAACGATACTTTAAATGTGCGCGACTGCTGCGTGAGTTCGCGGGTCGAAAGCAGGCGCATGTAACAAAAGATAATGCCTATGTTCGCGCTTTCTTCAGAGGTTTCTTATAATTATAGATTATGAATAATTGTACATTTAGAAGACGCTTTTCGTATTTCTCACAAATTAGCCAATTTGTATGTGGGAAAGTTGGCGAGCCTAACCTGCAGCTGCATCCGGCGACACTAGTGCTCCCTATATAATAGCAACCTCGAGCTTTGTCCCCGGTATTGATGAAGAGTTGCCGGGCCCTGGCGAGAACTAAGACGCCAGAGGGCAGCACATTTGTACTTCAGAGATTAAACATGTTCTAAAATTATATTTAGAACATCATTGTCATAGATTTAATTATTGTCAATCAGCAGAAGATTCTTTGATAGATGCATGATGTCCGTAAGAATGAGGCTGGAACAAGACTCCAGTGCTGGAGACATGATTTTTTTAAAATATAAAGGAAAAATATCAGTATGACACTAAATTTGCTTCAGCGACATCGCGCGATGAAGGAACCACTCCCACATAACGTGGTGGAAACCATTACGGTGGCGCGCTCTGCTGCAACATATTCTTACAGGAACTAAAACACGAACTGGTGCCAACGATACTTAAAACATGCGTGGCTGCAGCGTGAGTTCGCAGGTCACTAGCAGGAACAAAATGTTACACAACATGGCGCCGATGTTTGGGCTTCCTTTAGGGGTTTCTTATATGTGTATATTATGAATAATTGAACATTTAAAAGACACTTTTCTTATTTCTCACAAATTAGCCAATTTTTATGTGCGAAAGTTGGCGAGCTTAACCTGCAGCTGTACCCGGCCACACTAGCGCTTCCTAGAGTAGCACCCTCACACTTTGTCCCCTGTTTTGATGAGTTCCAAGGCCCCGGAAGGAACTAATCCTGGCCAATAGAAATGTCCAGGTTGACGTAACATCGGTTGGCGGGAAAATGTTGGGTAATAACCTCCGTTTTGCACCTTTGCGATTCCTAGAGTAATTTTTTGTCTGTATTATGCAGTTGACAAGGTTTGTGTTTCATACAACATTTTTTATTTACAATTATATTTCATATTCTTCGATTTATTTTGGTTTTGATTGCGAATTTTGTAGTCAACAAGCATAGCCTCTTAACTCTCTCTAATGGAGGCGCGCGATGAAGGAGGATAATGGAGGATACTTGTCATGTCAACTACCTTTTCATTTTGAATATGGTTCGAAGGAAATATTATCATGACCTTATCAATGATGCTAAGATGCTGCTTCGATAAAAGGAAATGTATTAATCGTTTGATTCTCTTCCCCCTTTCCTGGGATATGAGAAGAGCCAACGAATTTCGGCCCCTGTGCTATAGAGTAGACTGACTTTGGATATTTTTATAAACTGTTGGCTCTTTAAATATTTACTTCATAAAATTGTATTAATTATCATCATTGAAAGAAATGTTACCTTCATTACACTTTAATAACCGTTCGGAATAAAATCCAGAATGTTCAAAAACCAAGTCCTAAAAACGTTAGCAATTTTTCACGGAATGGAGGAACTTTCACCACTTTAGTTAACCATAACGATATTTTGAAAAATTAATTTTTCGTTGAAATGTACGGTGGCGTACATATATATTTTTTAATTCAAATGATTAAACGAAAACAGCTTACTGTCATTGAATTCAGTGCATTCACGTTCTACATAAATGTACCAACGACACACGATGCGTTATTTAAGCGTAAATAAAACTTTTAGTATATATTAACGCAAAAGAAAAGGTCGCAGTCAATATCGACTTCTATTGTCAGTATGACGTTGCCACAACACGTTACAAGCGACAATGACCGCTAATTTGAGTGTGATACACATTTTGCTAATTAGCATTGTTGATCCCGCTAGCAAGGAAATGAAAATAGATAGAAAAATATATAATTAAATATAATATCTTTATATTCATAAAAGTAACTCGATTTTTCATGCATTTTTTTATTCCCACGTCTTATTAAGCAAATCGAAATCATCTTTACATATTTAACACAATTAAAGGACGCAATTTAATATAACGCTAAATAATTTCTAAAAGATTGATTTTAAAACTTATAACAAAAGCTCGAAGAAGAAACGAACAAAGTAATATCAAAAACATACAATTTTAACTTCACTGTAACGTAGCATCCAAATGCTTCAAAACATCTTTAATTACGTTCACGAAGCACATAAAATAAGGAATGGGCGTCTTTGTTTGACACCAAATTACTCCAAAAAAATGTTTCACTAAGAAAAAATGTATCTTCATAACTCTAGTTGTAGGAAGACGAAAACAATTAAACCATCGAATACAAGCCAAGTCCAAACGATTGAGTATGGTTTCGCATTTTTTTCCCATGATTGTGACGAGATTAGTGTGAGAGTTGGCGTGCGCCTCCCGGCGTCTCATGGTTACGGGCTAGATGTTGTTGTTAACATTAAGCCGCCGCCCCCTTAAAATGACTATATCTTCATTACTTTTCTGGCACAAACTAAAACTGGTGGAACAATCCAGTACACGATTTACAATGTTTCAATTTTTTGTGTGAAGTGTGAAGTTGGCACCACCACAATAGTTGATCTTAAACTCAAATACTATAAACACAATTCATACATATAAAAGTAAATTGAAAGCTTTCCTGCTTAACAACATGTTCTACAGTGTAAAGGAATTTTCAAATTACAACATTTCCCTTAAAAAATATAAATAAATAAGATTTTTTATCCCATTAGACTTTCAGTTTCATGTGAACCGTTTCAAGCTGAAGCAAAGAAAAAAGAACTGCATATCCTGTGAAATAGAAGGAGAATAGATGAAGAAAAAAACTGGTCAAAACTTCCTCCTCACCATTTCAAGTTATAGATATAGAATGTTCTACTATTGTTAAATTTGATGTAGTTGCAAACATAATTGATATGTATTATTGTTATTGTTAT